ACTGGAGTCCGGGATGCCTGGGCAATCTAAGTTGCAGGGATCCTCTGAGACACAAAGATTGAGCCAGTTCTTGAAGTCTGTTCAGGCAGAACTCTCACTGAAGCTAATGGGAGTTTGCCTGAGTATGTGTAAGAGTGGAACAGTTAGCGAAATGGGGACAGAAGGTTTTGAGGAGTGTCAGATGCAGCTTTAAGGCCATGCACATTTGTTTTAAGGTCTAGAGACCCATCAGCTTTGATAGTTTGTTACTTCTCCAAGGGGAGAAATTCCCTGTCGTTACAGGGATGGGTGTTGGGGGACTCAAGTCAATCCTGTCTTTTCACAACAGACTTGGCTGCAGTCATTCCCAGCTCCTTAAATTGTATGCCCGCATTATGCTGGAGAGCAGCTTCCCTCAGAGGTCCCATGGGTGCAACTGGCTTCAGATGCAGGCTCCCTAAACCTGAAGCTAAGAATCTGTGTTGCCCCCTGTTCGTTATCCATTTAATAATCACTTTTCCTGTTTATGTGCTGCAGATTCTGAGTCTGTGGACTCCCCGAATCCCTCCTCGGCCCTCACCTCCCTGCAGTGGGTGGCAGAGATACTTCCCTCTAACATCAAGTTTCAAGGGAGGACCTTCAATCAACAGCTGGAACATCTGTTGACACCACCCGAGCGCTACATCATCTGCAAAGCACTGGAAGGCTTCTTCCAGCATCGGTACCTTGTTCAATGCTCTGTTTGTTTAGCTGGTTGCAAGGGTGGTGGGGGTGTCCCTGCTTACACTCTGCTTCATGAATCAAAGCACTTACCCTTGCTGTCGGAGCAGACTTCAGCTTTATGGACCATCTAAGCATTGCCCAGCTACCGGCACTGCTCTGCTTTTGGTGAGTAAGGGCCGCTTCCTAGAAGCTGCTGAGCCCACCAACTTCAGTGAGAGTTGATATCACTCAGCCCCTGCAGAGTCATGCCCCAAACTCTTTCTTCCTTCCCATCATGCCTGGTGCCAGAGTAAACCTGGGATGGATTCTCTGGGTTGTTATAAGGCCCAGAATGCTGGAAAGGACTCTGCTGAAAGCGCCTTACTTTCTTGGCTGTATTCCCCAGCTACCCAAGGGGCCTGTATCACAGTAGCTGTTGCTCTGCACAAGGAGATGTGGCCACTGCTCCCTTCAGCAGCGCTAGAGGAGGGTGGTGGAGGGCGACATGAGGTGCCCCAGACCTTCTCCCACAAGTTATGAGCATCCGCTGGGGTACTGATCTGTACTCCATACCTGTACATAGCCTGTAGAGAAAGCATTGAGGTGACAGGGAGGGACGCCCATCTGGCCAGATGCCCAGCCCTGCAGGGGTCAGGGAATCATCCTGTCACCTTTTGGGGTTCACCCACAAGTGCCCTTTAATCAACAAAATGACCTTCTTCTTTTCATGCAGCTAGGGGGTCTCTGGCTGTTAGGACAGGCCCCCCACCAGCAGCATGCCTTCTTCTTACAGTCAGCCCCTTGTATTTCATTCCTGTTGGGTCCTGTTCCCCTCTTAATGCTCCTTTCAGCGTTTTGGCTAATGTGTTCCCTTGGCCTTAGCACAAGAATGCCTCCCGCTGGCAAACTGCTCTTCCTGTGATTGAACAAACGCCTCCTCTTTGCCCTGCTGCAGGCCTTGGAACTGATCTCCTGGCAGCCTTGGGAGCGTCAATAATGCACTTGTTCGCTCCCCTGGCCCCTTGGCCTTTTTCACACCGTGCTGACAAAGCCGTCATCAGACCTGGCTTTGATTTCAGGTGCGATAATGTCCTCGGATGGGCTGAGCAGGACCATCTTTCTGAGAGCCCTGGCATGCACTGGGAAAAGCAGCCTGGCTTCCCTCTCCCTTCCACTGCACAGTGCAGGTGGAACCTCTCTAGTCCAGCACACTCTGGTCTGGCAGCATCCATGACCCAGCATGATGTCAGTGAGCCAGAGGTCACTTATCATGGGGGTGGCCTAGTTTCCCGCAGTCCCATAAAGTTTGTTTCCAGCCCCCAGTCCTGGCTCTCAGGGTTCTGGGCTGTTGTTTGGCTCTAATTGACCCCAAATGTCTTCTCAGAGCCCAGCAAGCAGTGGACGTGTTGGTCATGCTGCTAGACCATATTGACCTCCCGTGGTTGGGCAAATTCTCTGGTTCAGAACCGGTCAGGTCCCCAGGGTGCCGGACTAGAGAGGTTCAACCTGTAGTTACTATATGGCAAGTTCGGAAGTGTAAATGCCAGGGCCCAAATCCAGAGCGCCTTAGGCAAACTCCCTGTGAATTCCCTGGGAGCTTAGCCTGAGCAAGGACTAGGGATGTAAGTGACTTAGGGTCGCATAAGCTTATTGGATAGTCAACTAGTGATGTGACTGGTCGCTTCCCCCTCTTGCTACTCTATCAGAGGGCGGCAGCAAGGGGGGAGCTGGTGCTGGCGGGAGCTGGCTTAAAAGCTGGTGCCCCCCAGCACTGTCTCTGTGGGGGGCAGAGGAGGTAGAGGCGCAGCAGGAAACTTCACAAGTGGGGATTGAAGCAGTCTCCGCTCACGCTACTTCTGCTGTGATTCCCCTGCTGGTCCCGCATTCCCTGCGGGCTTCCTTTGGAAATGTACAAGAGCCGCAGTGGGGGTGACTCTTGGAAAGTCGCACAGAACCTTAGCATGGTAGAAGTCCCAGAGCTGGTAGGCTCTTAAGACATTTAAAAAGCAGAGGTGCAGCATCTGGGATTGGGCACAAGCTGGGAATCAGCTAATTCCTGGCTTAGACCTGGTCCCTGCCACCCCCTACCTCTCCTGCCCCAAGTGAAGATGGAGCTGGGGAGAACCGGCTTTTAAGATGGCTTTTAAACTGGATTTTAACTATGCCGATACTGTATTCCCCATGAAAAACCCCTGCTTCTCACTGCCATGTGCCACTTCCTACTCATTGCCTGTCCAAATCTTACCTCTCTCTCACGGGGTTTCTTCTTTTTTCACCCATTTCCCGGCCTCCTCCCAAGCCCTTCCCAGTCATCTGTCCAGACCTACTCCCCTAGTGTTGATGGGGTGCAGCCTCTGGCCTAAGTCTTACCTCACCCTCACTTACACTGACCCACGACAGTGCTTTTATAGCCTGGTCATCACATGGTCCCTGAGTCACGTGTGGGAATGTGCCCCTCATCTGTCCCCACTGCAGAAGTACATTTCCTGGAATTCTCTTGCTTTGAAGTGTTGAGTACCAGTGCCAGAAGGGCTGGGTGTCAGTGCCTGCTTATAACGGGCCCAGTACCGCTACTCAGGCAAACAGGAGACAAGCCGCTGCCTACAGGAGCTAAAATCTCTGTTAGGCATAGGACAGAAAGGGATGAGGCCCAGAGGCAGTTTTCGAGGGACAGAATACTGCAGTGACAGTCTGAGAGTGTGACCTTGTCTTGCCTTCCTTATTACCCCGTGCAGGAACATAGATACGCTCATAGTGGACGTGTACCCTGTGCTGGACACACCAGCTAAGCAGGTCATTTGGCAGTTTATCTACCAGCTGTTGACCTACGAAGAGCAGGAGCACTGCCAGCAAAAGATCGCCAGGTTCCTTGGCTACAAATCAGTGGCAGGTGAGAGGAAAGCTCCTATACTCAGACTTGTGCACGTTGAGTACGTCTCCTGACTTCCCTGGGGATCGTGGATTGCGGTATTTTATCACATTGTCAAGATCAATCTAAGGCCAGTTCTGCACTAGACCTGGAAGGTCGGTTTAAGGGATGCAACTCCTGCTATGTAAAATACGTAGCTCAAGTCAACTTACCTTATGCCGAGCTTGGCGCCGTCTTCACAGGGGGAGGCTGATGGGAGTAAATGCTTGTGTTGGCTTTCCTTGCTACTGTGAGGAGTGTGGGCACCAACCGGAGCCACCCTCAGCATTTGATTTAGCGGGTCTTACCTAGACCCGCTAAATCGAATGCCAGAAGATCGATCTCCAGCATGGCAAGTGAAGACATGGCCTAAGATTAGTGGAGGTTGGGGATGTGTTGTGCTAGGGCTAGGAAAATGTGGTGGGTTCTCATCAGAAAGGGTGGCTTGCCAGCCTTTCTTGAATGGGACAGAGCTCTGGGGGCTGATTCTCCCCTGCCTTGCACCTTGTATAGTCTCACCTGTGAAGCCTGGGTGTAAAATGCAACCTGATCGGAATGGCCGTGTTGTACATCCACTTTGCACAGGTGTAAATGACCCTCCAGGATACAGGGCAGTGCAGGGTCAGGACCCTCATTCATGAGAAATTGATCTTTAAACCTGCGACTGGTCCAGGACCAAAGGCTGCTCTTCCTGCACTTTGGGCCAGTGTCATTTTGGGAGGAAGCGCCATACTTTACTGGAAAGAAAGAAATATTTTAGTGGCAGATTGTCTTGAAAAATGGTGACTCTTGGAAAGCTGCGCAGAACCTTAACATGATAGAAGTCCCAGGAGTAGATGGGTGGCTTATTGAGCATAGTGCATGCGAGACAGTCCAAGGCAAGTAATGGATGCAGTTTCTCCCCTGACATCACCACCATGTGGCATGAATAAATGTCTACAAGTAGGGCTCAGTTAAAATGAAGGACCATCAAAAGAAAGTGAGAAACATGCTTGATTCCATCCATAGAGGCCTCTGCCTAAGAGGTTTTCTTGTGTCACAGAGATTCAGGGTGTCATTAGCAAATCCCATAGCATCCTGCAGAGAAGGAGTCCGCACCTACCTTTTCTTCCTTGTCACTATCAATCGTTGCTGTGGCAACATACAAACCAACTGGGGTTTGCTGTGGATTATGGGCTTCACAATCAGACAGCAAAAAAAGGCAGAGGGTAAATTTAGAATGAAAGGTTTTAATCTTCGTATCTAGATTTCTTAATTACTTTTAAATTCCTGTGTTTTAAACCATTTACATTTTGCGGATAAGTTTATTTTAAACTCATCACTGCTAAAACTGCAGGAAATAATTTTCAATTTAAAGAAGAGGAGAGGACTTGTTGAGGTATCTTTTTTTTTTTTTTTTTAACATAGCATAGCAGGAAAAGTCATTTGCGTAGGGACAAACAGCTCTTGCAATGTAGGCACAGATGTTCTGAGCTTTGCATGCAAAAATGCCTATGTATTTGCACCCTAATGTGCACACAAAGGTAACATGACTACATTTGTGCATTCAGGAGAAGTGGGTAGTTGTGCACATTTTTACATGAGCATTCTAAGCACTTGAGCCCTAATCTTCAAAATAAAGACTTTAAATGATATTATCATTAGTGTGAGAATCCTGTCAGGAGACAGACGGCATTCTTGATTTCAGTCACCTGTTTTAATTTAGTTTAACACTGACAGAGAATGGTTCATCCTTTCCTCGTCTATGAGTGCAGTTGTCAAACATAGGTGTTCAAGTTGCAAAGTACAATGTGCTACAAACATGCAGTTGCACACGCTGTACATGCATGTACTGTCTCAGGCCCAGGTATGTATTTTACAGTTATGCTATTTGAAAGGTCGCCCTTTCTCCATGGATATTGTACCTACTTCAGGTCATTTAATTTGAGTTTGGCTCTTGAGCAGACTGGTAATATTTTCTGGTGCATACACGTCATTTTTCATCTTCCCAGCACTTTGGAGACAATAATTCAAGAGCACCCCACAAGTAGGCAGCCTTACTGGCTCTATTCTACAGCTGAGGGAGGTGAAGCACAAAGTGTTGAAGTGACTTACCTAAGGCCACATCGTTTCAGAGGCAGGATTGGAAGTAGACTCCCTGGTGTTCTGACCTCTTACAAGTAGGGGAAGGGCCGGACATGCTCCTTTCAATCTAAGGTCGGGGCTCGTGTGACTTTCCACATACTTTGGTACAGTGTGTGCATACCCATGTCTGAGAACACAGAGTCCGTCCCTCCTGAGATTTGGGGCAGCTCTTCATTTGATCTGGTTCCAAAGCAGATGTTCATCTCCATCGTGGTAATGTTTCATGGATGTCTGTCTGAGCGCCTGCCCGCCAGGCACTGAACTCCATAGCCACTAGGTTCTGATGTAATGTTAAGATTATTTTAGCCAACCCCAGTGTGGTTTTGGAGCATGCTTCTTACAGCTTGCATGGCAGCATTGTGGTACCAACCGCTTTGCATGCCAGGAGCCTGTCCCTAGGGGGCAGAGAAAGAGAAGGTTGTTTCCCAGCCAGGAGTCATCATACATGCACGGACTGTGTTCTCATGTGAGGGGTGTATGTGGATTTCAGGCTCGCAGAACTTCATGGTCATCCGCAGCTGCAAACCTCAATGTCCCTGGGGCTGGGCCTCTGTTATTCATCACACGATGGTAGGTGAGGAGCACTGGGAGCCAGTGCATCTTGCAAAGATGGGCAGTAACTTACAAAGTCTCTTTGCAGCTGCAGCAGAGCCAGAGGCAGAGGAGCGGCACCGGACTTCAGTTCGAGGGGCCTCGGGATGTCGGGGAAGCATTCGAACCCGGGGCTCTGAGGAAGGTGGGACAGGAGGTGGGTAATTTATTGCTCTTTTAGAACATAAGAATGGCCAGACTGCGTGGGACCAAAGGTCCATCTAACCCAGTGTCCTGTCTGCTGACAGTGGCCAATGCCAGATGCCTCAGAGGGAGTGAACACAACAGGGAATCTTCAAGCAATCCTTCCCCCGTCACCCATTCCCAGCCTCTGACAGAGGCTAGGGGCCCCATTCCTACCCATTCTGGCTAATAGCCATTGATGGATCTAACCTCTATGAATGTATCTAGTTCTTTCTTACACCCTGTTAAAGTCCTGTTCTTCACAGCCTCTTCTGGCAAGGAGTTCCACAGGTTCACTGTGCGCTATGTGAAGAAAAACTTCTTTTTGTTTTAAACCTGCTACGTATTAATTTCATTGGGTGACCCCTAGTTCTTATGTTATGGGAACAAGTATTATTACTCACTTTTTCCACACCGGTCATGATTTTATAGGCCTCTATCATATCCCCCCTTAGTCTCCTCTTTTGTAAGCTGAAAAGTCCCAGTCTTTTTAATCTCTCTTCATATGGGGACCTGTTCCAAACCCCTCATAATTTTTGTTGCCCTTTTCTGAACCTTTTCCAGTGCCAAGAGATCTTTTTTGAGATGAGGTGACCACATCTCAAAAAAGTATTCAAGATGCGAGCATACCGCCATTTGTTGTTTTTTAAGTTTTACCCTTTTTGAATGATTCCCAACATTCTATTTGCCTTTGTGACGGCCGCTGCACACAGAGTGGATGTTTTCAGACAACTATCCACAATGACTCCAAGCTCTCTCTCTCGAGTAGTTATAGCCAACAGATTCCCTTTAGAGTTATATTAAGATTCTCTTTAGAGAGCTCCTGTAACTGGTTCCCATTTATCCTGGGCTCAGGGGGTCTGTTTGTTAAGACGCAGCCCCAAGAGTCAGGATTTCTAGCTACAGTTCCAGCTCAGTCCCTGATTTGACAGCAGTAAGTACAAGCTAGCAGAGTCAGGCTCACAGCCCTTGACAGCAAATCCACTTTTGTCCACAAAGAACAAACCGTCTGACATCAGCAAGTCCTGCTGTAAAAGCTGCTTGGGCTGAGGCTGTAAGTGATTTATTCAGATCCCTAATGTCATTTGGAGGGACA